ACTCGTGGCATAACAGCAAATTTTGTCCAAAGCCTTTGCTGCTGAGCTGCACCTGTATAGAGCTCAAAGGCTGAGGCTCTCATGCTTTTAACCAAACTGTTCCTGAGAACCCTGTAGGTGGAACACGAAATAAAGCTGAAGTGTTTTGAGAATGTACCGGGGGGAGGTATCTAATCTTTAAACCTCAGTGATGGACAGTCAGTTTGAATATATTCTGGATTGGAAAGAATATTAGGAAATAGACTCAGAAATGGATTCTCAAATGTGTAACCAGAAAATATAAACTTTCTAGGAGAGGAAAAATAAAGAGACTTCTGACAAAACAAACTGACAAGTGTGAATGTTTTGAATCTTTTATCTTTTTATGCATAGTGTCAATAAACCTGAGCACAGTACATTAAAATTCTTCTCTATAATATTCTAATAAATGTATAGTTATAGTGGGTATTGAAATAAATTCTTTATTAATATTTTTGGGAGATGCCTTTTCCTTTCTCCAGAGAATAATGAAACAAAATGTTTAATCCCAAATGCTTATCTTGCTGTATTTGGGAGAGATTGAGTAAACAGAAGAATTGATAAACTCTGTCTCTGGAGGTAAAAATTATTCACTGCGGTCTTCCCACCTGCAGGGCTTTTTACTCAGTACAAGAATATATGGTGCATGTTGTCAAAGGCTGTGATAAACCAGGGAGAGAAGCAGAGCTGGTGTTTTGCTGCCAGTGGCATCTTTAAGATGAAGGAGAAAATTGACTGTGGAATTTGGAAAAGCTATTTGAAAGATTGATGCTTGGAGTTGAGGAGAAGAGCAACTCCTTTTGTAGCTCAGTCCTTGAAGCCCTAAGAAGATCAGGGTGATACAAATAATGCGTACTTCTAACGCTGCCTTTGTAAAGGTAAGGAGTTTTAACCCTCCAATTCTCCAGAAAACCTTAATGTTGTTAGCTATATATACTGTTTTCATTATATTGAGATGAAATCTTTTTCCTTTAAAGCTCACTGTTGGAGCTTTCTCATGGCTTATTTTTTTGAAATATGCCATTTGGGAGAAGGGGGATTAACTTCATAAAAAATCGACAGGCTCATCTGCTGCTCCTGCACTGCCATGGTCTGTAAACGTGTTACATCCTAGCAACTGGGTAGCTGTAAGCCCTGAATAGGGGTCGCCACCTTCTCTGAGGCTTAATTGGAGTCTCTGAGGAAACTGGTATGAATATGAATGATAACCCACCTAATGAGTTGACAAAAAACAGGAAGGGAGGTTTTTGCCCCTCAGTAGCTACTGAATGTAATGGCTACTGTTAATTATTGTTAATAAGCAATATAAACATAATAATTTGAAGAAATTTTCTGACAGAAAAGTACAGCTGCAGATACACAAGGGATATAAGTCCCATGAAGGTAAAGGCTTTTCATCTATTTTTCAGAGTTCATCTTGTATAGGAACCTCAGTTTCTTCACAGAGAAAAGAAAGAGGAGAAAAATCCTTTTCTGATGAGCATTTCAGTTAGTAAATTCATTAGGTGAGCTTTTTTGTTTTGGTTTTATTTTTTCCAAGTTTTGGAAGTTGGAAGTACTTCACTGTCATTAAAAACCTGATAAAAACCTTACAAAGGGAGCCATTCAGCTGGTGCCTGCCCAGCACAAGGGTTGCTCTACCGGTGGTGGTCTGTTCTGGCTGCTGCTAGTCCTCAAAATGGCTTTTGTATCAGACAGGCAAGTTGTGGGGCACTGAGTTGCTGGCTTATGCTCTTGAATGCATTTCCATGACAGAGCCTTTACCTCTGAGACCATGAAAAGAGGGTATAAATGCTGCCTTTCTGGTTTTAGGCACTGACCAAGATGCCTGAGCCAAGGTCAATGTCTCCTTATCACCTTATCCCAGTGATGAAGGGACAAACCAGACTGCTGAGGTGAACACCAGAGTTGGCATTACCCAACCTTGCAGCTGAGTTACTGGGGTTAAGTCCTTCCTTTGTAACACTTACTCAGCCAGCAATTGCAGTTAAGAGTAGCATGAGATGTCACTAGGACATAGTTGGGAGCATCCCTGCCATTCAGGGGCTGGGGGGGGACATGATTCATACCAGAGTGATCAAAAGATGCTTTTATCTCGTTCCAAAGTGTGGCAAAACCCCTACATGCTCTGGCTTACGTAAGTTATATATTTTATTTAAGTTTCCCACTTCAGTTGTTGATTGTCCTGCTGTGAGATGTTTGCTGCTGTTTCCTACAGAGTATAGCAAACTGTGTAAATCAAGTAGTCGGGTTTTACAGAATTACAAACACATGAGGAGTTTAATTTGTGCCCTGAAGGACCAGGCACTGGCTGGGCTGCTTGTGAGTGAAGTTGTTAATAGTTCATCGGTAACCATTAAGCAGCTTGAAAATATTTGCCCTTTGAGAGTAACCTGAGCTCTGCTGCAAGGAAAAAAAGAAAAGAAAAAAAAAAAAAAAGGAAAGGGGGAAGGGGAAAAAAAAATGTAGGGTAGCAGTGGGATAAAAATGTAATTTCAATTGGATATTGCCACTACAGAGTTAGGGGTAGCTTCTCACTAGCAAGTGTAATAGAAGTGTATCTTTGCTATGTTTTTTGAAAACACTTAAGATCACAGTTTTATTGTTTACAAAGAAATGAATTTTGATTCATAAAAAATGATCCGTTACAAAGCAATTCAATTTTTGGCAGCTGTTCAAATATAAAGAGGAAGAACTTTAGTATAACTTTAAGAAAGAAATTGAGCTTAACGTTAAAGCACATCCAAATACAGCAACTGATGGTTTAAGTCATGTGCAAAGTACTGCATAATTAAATCCAGGATGACAGCCCTGGTGATTTAAGTCAGAAAACAACCAGCAGCCCTGCAGACCTCTCCACAGCTGTTCCAGTGCTATTCTTCAGGGACTTTCTCCCACATTAGTCATTCAGGGTCCACTTGATCTTTGAGTTCTTTGCTGAGATGACTGAAAAGGCGAACACACTCTGAAGCTAATTTGACACTACAGAATTTTGAATAATAATAAGTTTCGGTTGTTGGTAGTCTAAGTAGGTATAGTAATTCCAGGCTGGAGTTTAAGTGCTCCATTGCCTGTCCCAGGAGGGAATTTGACTGAGATAACTGGTTAATTACAGTTTTGAGAGATTACTTACTCAGAAATTGGGAAGGATCTAAAATGTTCTGCCCAATAAGGGGAGATTTTCCTCTAGTTTTAGACAAGGTGCAGAAAGCTTAATGCAAAATAAAATATTTTTCTGGTTTTGCTGTTGTAAGTGCTGAATTGATTTACCTTGTATTAGTACATCTTACTGTTTAAGCAGAAGACATCCTGTATTGAGAGAAAATATCAACAGTTCAATGCCTTGCTCTTTCAAGAAAGAGTATACAAACTCAAATAGTGGAAGAAATGTGTGGTTTTATTTGTAGGTGGTTTACCTTAAGGCTTCTCTTAGGAGAGTCTTGCTGGTGTTTCATAAATCTGCTGTTGTCTGAGAAGCACTTTTTCTTGAAGTCAACAGAAAAAAACTTGCCCTGAACGAGTTGGATGAGGTCTACATCTCGGCATTTCCATCATACAACGTTTGTAGATGCTGTGTGTGTGTGTGTGTGAAGTTGTCTGCTGGTCTAATTGCCTTTCGTTCCCTGTACCTCCCCTAATACTTGGAAATAAATAACTGTGGGACAACTTGCTTAGGCAGGTTCAGTTTACAGACTTCTCTGAGATTTTACTTTGGGCTGCAAAATGTCATGTTGGATTTAACTAAACCAGTGATTATGATTGCAAGGTGGAATATAAAATATTTGAAGATCAGGGTAGAGAAAGGTGGCAAAAATTATACATGGTGCTTTTCTTACATGGATATGATTTGGTGATTAAACCAGATTATTTCTGAGAATAAGAATTCTAGCTGGCCAGGAATTTTGAGGGGTGGAATAAATCTACTAATTGTTAGCTTACTATAAAGTATGCTTAGAAAGTTAATCCATTTCTCAAGTTGTGAATGGATAAATATTAAGATAAAAGGTTGCAAGATGGTATTACGGAAATAGAGAAATCCTTCAGTTTCTTGCAGAGTAAACATAAATCCTTTCTGCATTTCTTTGCATTTAAAAATATTTCTTTCAACACTGTGACTTGCACTCTGATCTACTAACTTATTAATGTGTTCTTATTACTTTTAGGCATCTCAGGTATTACTGTTAAGCTTTTCTTTCAGTGTATTACTATGAAGGAGTTCATAGCCTGAAAATTGTATGCTGTGTAGAAACTGCCTAGTGCTATTCATATGCCTTCTCTTTAAAAAGACTGTTTAATTTTTTAGATCATCACTGTAAAAATGATGTTTACTTGGAACTAAAGCTAAGTTTTTTTATATATTATGTATGAGCATATGCAGTGGCTTTTTACAAACTCACTTTTGTAAATGTGTTATCTAAGTTCTATTTGCAAAAGTTGCTTGCCCCAGACTGTTTCCTGTCAGTTATTAAAAGCACTTGCTAATGGAATGCTATATCCTAATTCAATATGCTTTGCTACCTGCTTCAAAACTGGTGCATTGCCTAGGTATCAAACAGTGGTAAACTCTTAAGCAATTTGCTGTAATTTGCTTTGAAAATTTACCAGTGCATTAGTCATTGTCATTCTACTAGCTATATTTCTAGTTCTATTCAACTTTGGTGAGTAAGGAAAGCCTAAAAGGGATGGTGATAAAATGATGTTTTAACACAGTCTTATGCAAGTCAATGTTTACATTTTCCAAGAAAGGATGTTATGCAAGTCCTTTAAGGATATTATGTGTGCTTCTTGTTAGGTGTACATTTGCCTTTCAGAAAAACAGCCATCAGAAAATATGAAAGAAAAAAAAAATTCCACATTACATTTTCAGGAGCTTAATTTTGGGATTCTCTTACTTTTGGCATTACAATGTAAAGTATGCCTAGAAGATGGTAGATGCTACAATAAATCTACCTGCTACTTACTAAATCCTTTTATGTTTTCAGAAAAAAGCCAAAGGCCAGCTCCTATTTGAACAGATCATGTATCATCTGGACCTAATAGAAAGTGACTACTTTGGATTAAGGTTCATGGATTCTGCACAAGTGGCGGTGAGTAGCAGTGCTCTTTTTTTTTCTCTAAAAGTTAAATCTTAATATTGACAAAAATGCTATAAGAAAGCTGGTTTTTTTGGAGTTAAGTTTTGTGCAGAAGCTCTGGGGTGTGTTAGTTTGAGTGACTCCAAGGTTAATTTTAACCTGAGTACTCTAACATATTACAATGCTGTTACTTGTTCCTTTCTTGTCTTTTTCTTGTTCCTGTCACACTTTCTGTTGTCATTAGGCAGGCTGGTCCAGTAGGACCCCAGAGCCTGGTGTGTCACGTAGAAATTCTTGATGCTGCTGATGCAGAGAGGAAGGGGCAAAATCAGAGTGCTTGGCTCTTTGTTGTTCTGCAGAGTGGAGAAATTTTTCCTTTGCCAATGCCATCAACTTTCTCATCAGCAAAAGTGATCTTTTTAATGGCTGCTTGGGAAAGAATGTTGTCAAGAGGGGTGTGCCTTTGATTTCCTCAAATCAGTTGTGACTCAGACCTGCAAGTAGAAATTTTGGGGGGGATATAGGTGTGTTCGTATATGTACTGGACAGTTTGAGTAGAGGGTTCTTGCAAGCCTGAGTTCATTTGTGAAGTTTGTTGTGTGTTGGTAAAAACGTGATTGCTTTTGAAATCAGAAGCAGGGCACTGTTGGAAGCAACCATGGTTCTTTCACTTGCTGGCTGTGGAGTTTTATGTAGATACTTCTTATGTTCAGGTACTTAATCCTGCCCACGAGTATAGCTGCAGGTTAAGTGAGATGTTAGGCAAGGAGTAGATTTTTGTCTGTCCTGCATCCCTGTGACTTAAACCTGTATTCACTTATCTTGACACCCCCAGGTAGAAGGATAACTGAGTTTTCATACTGTGTATGTCAGTCTTACTTGTTAAATGTATGACCTAATTGTTTCTGCGTTTCAAGTCCACTTCAGAATTATTTCATGTTTAGGATGGTAGCGTAGAAGCACAGACAGTTGCTGATGAGCTAAAAACCTGAAGCAATGCTGTATATTCCTTTACTTCTATGAGGTTCTATGTCCAGAACAATTTGAAGATGACATCTTAATTATTCCAGCTTTGTACGATGGCAAAACACCTCCCCAAGCTTGAATATTTGAAAGAATCTGATAGCTTTGGACACTGTGTTATCCACCTCAGAGCACTTATAACTTGATGCCTTCTTTTCAAAATGATTGAGAATCAAGTTTTATGCCTAGCTTGTAATTGTAGGGAACTTTCTCTTCTGAGAAAATAATTGATGTTCAGCGTCTGAAGCAAGCTTCATGACTAGCAGGATTAGCTAGCTGGGCTGCAGTTCCCAGTAGTGAAAGTGGTCTTAAATCTCTTGCAGAACAGACACATTTAACACTATGAAGGAGAAGACTGTTACACTAATGGAACCATGCGTTCCTCCTGCCGAGAGATATTAGAATACAGCCCGTTACATACCATTTTATATTTATAAAATCAAGTTAGCTGTGTTATGCATGTGCAGTCTAGGATGCTGAGTATTCGTAGTAAATGGCTCCATTGCATTCATCTTTTTGCTTCAGGAAAAAAATAATCTGTACGTTTTAGATATTTAATTTCTGCCATGTGGCTTCTGAAGTATTTCCTTGTGCCTCTAGAATATCATAAGAGTTCACGGTTAGTTGTAACTGGTGAAACTATCTGCGTGGTGATCTTTTTTTTCTCTTACTGTTCTGTTAGCAAATAAAGTAATTTCATCTTGAAATGGGGAAATAAGAGTTAATCTTTTCTGTCTCAGCAATGGCTCATGGCTTGCTTTTGTCCAGCAAATTGTTACTTCCAGTCCAGACAGCACCTGATTAAGTATTTGATAATGCACAACCTACCAGGTACAAGCGATTTAGAATTTAGTTTGCTTCCTTTTCTTAACTATGTGTGACTGAAAAGAGGCAGACTAGAGATAACAATCTGTTTAAACTGGACTTTACTGATACACTCTGTATAAGGAAGCTTGCATTTTGCCAGAAGAGCTGAACACAGAAGAGCCAGAGATAATTGCTTTAAGAAGTGAAGAGCTGTTGTGTCGGCAGCCGTTTTTGCAAAGAGGAGCTGGCATATTCTAGCAGAAACACAATCTGCAGCTGGAAACAAAAGCAAGAGACTAATCAAGTGACTTGTCAAAGATTATCCAGGAGACCCGTTAAATAAACAGTGTAGGAATCCAGTCCCTTACTGTGGACAGAATTGTTTGCTGTCTCTGAATGAGATAGTCTTTCTGCTACCCAATTTAAATCTGAGTATATTGCCTTACTAGCTAGTTGCATCTAATGATATGAAAACTCTGAAAAACTAGCAACATGTAGTTAAATAAAAAATTGAGAAATTCCCTGTTTATTGAAAAATCACAGTTAAAACAGATTCATTTTGAACAACTGAAGGATAGCTCTTTTTCTGCTTTTGAGCTGCTGAAGTGATTAGGAGTTAGGTATTTGAGCTTATGATGTATTGGGGAGTGGGGGCATCCCAGATAATACAAGCTCTTCCAGGCATTTTGGATTGTAGGATTCAAATACTAGCTTTCTTAAATAAGTTATTGAAACAATTTGTGAAGTGAAAGAATTGTTGTTTTCATGTGATTTCTGTGTTCATTGCTATTCTGATGATTAGGAATAGATTTCGGTCTCTACCTCCCCATCTACCCCAGTAAGAGGCAGGAGATGGCAAAAGGAATTATTTGCTATATTGTCCACCGTACATCTGACTTAATCTGGCAGCCGAGGGAACAGGCTATTGTTAATTTGAGTAACTTCGATTCAGGCTGACAATGAACAGCACAGCATGTCCAGTGACACAAAAGATGAAGATTGCTGTTAACTTGTTGGGCTATTTGACTTTTCCTCTAGCCATGCTGCAGAGGTGTTTCTAGTAATACTATGAATACTTAACATGTGGCAAATTTCTAATTCAAACATACAGGTTGCAAGCATCAAATACTTGCTCTTCGTAATGGAATTGTACAGCACATTGGTTTGTTACTCTGGCAGTTTTATCTAATGTAGTGCTTAATGCTGAAAATTATTTGTGTAACATTGTACTAAGTATGCCATAAAGTGTGGGACCAGTTTTAGCCTCCCCATCTTACTAAAAAAAAAAAAAAACCAAACTCATTTACCCTACCTTCTTGAAATGATTCTGGGCTTTGGGGTGCTTTTTGTGTTTTGATTTTGGGGTGATTTTTGTGTTTTTAATTTCTGAAGCAACAAAATGTTTTAGTGAGGACTTCCAGTACTCTGTGCAGTCAGTTGTTCATATTGCTTTTTGTTTAGCAAACTTTATCTCTAGATTTCAGCAGTAGACTGTGCTGAGCAAACTCTCATCAAAATGTAAACTTTTTGCCAGGTCCTCTTGAATTCCATTTTAATCACTTGGAATAAATCTTAAGTTTCCTGACGTTTCTCTGTGTCCATGTGTTGGTTTGGGGTTTTTTTGTTGGTTTTTTCCTTCCTTCCCCTGCATTTAGAAGCAGTTCTGGTTCCCTTCTTCCTTGCACACCCTGACCATTCAGGCAGAGCTCTTGTAGGCAGCAGTGGTAGGAGCCAAGCAGAGTAAAACACTATCAGAGCCTGTTGCGGGCCCCTCACTTGCCTTCCACATGGAATGTGGAGGAGATGAGAGAAAACAGGAGGGAGATGAAACAGGCGCGCACAGCCAGTCCTGGAGTACAGAAGTGACTCTCTTTGCTGTTTCTGTATTTAAATTACCTGCAAGCCTCTAAGTGGGTAGTTCGTATATTTTTATGGTGGAGGAAGGAGTAAGTAAATTGTCCCTTGCAGCAAGTGTGTTATGGAATAAGAACAGAGATTCTGTCATTTTCTCAAAGAAACAAAAATATTGCTCAACTCCATTCTGCTGGTAGTGTAAGCAAAGTTGACATAAATATTTGCTTAATTCTTCCTTGAACTTCCTGCTTTATTTCAAAATTATATTAGATACAGTTCAGATAGGTTTCTGTAGCTACTTTGTGTTAGCAGGTGATGAGAGCGTTTTCAGCTGTGTGCACGGCAGCAGTAGATGGTTCAGTTGTTCTGATCTGCAGCTGATATATCAATTGCTGCATATCCTGGCTGTATTACAGGCTGATTTTACACACACTCTGCAGAAGGCAGGGCTGCTCTGGAGACAGGAATGTGTTTGCACTTGGCATTGCGACCTGAAAATACCGGTTCTTTCCCATACCCATGTTGCTTTTCTGTCCTCCGTGGGGCCTACTGTGAACTTTCTGGCACATAGTTTAACAAAAGGAGTGTTGCTAAGTATATAATTCATCTGTGTTAGTTGCAAGGTGACATGTGGGATTGATCAGATGAGGTGGTGTTACCTGGGCATTGTGAACCATGCAGGACATGGTGTGCTAGGTAGTTTGCTCTGGCTGTTGAGTCAATGCAATTATGTTGAGTAGGGTGCTGTGTTTACTGTTTAACTGACTCACCTCCTTCTGAGGAAGTAGGTGTGCACTACTCAGTGCTTGGAAGTAGGTCTCTACCGCTAGCTGTATGTTAGCTTTCCAGCTTTTTTCTTTAATTTCTGGTAATTTTTTAGCAGTGGGAGTATATACAGTTATTTTAAGGAGCATAGTATATACATGTAGATGTTTCTCTCAACCTGCCATCTATAGCTTGTTTTTCACATGGTGTTGTATGCAGGATAAGTGAAGCCATTATTTTGGCTTCACTTCTAGTAAATAGCTTATAATTAGCATCAGTAGGTGAGGCAGTAACTTCTGTCCTCCCATGTGACAATTGCTAAAATGTCACCTGTGAATATATTTTGGAGAATTAGGTAAGCTGACGCTTATGTTCAGATGTAAAAAACCTTGCTGTTACTACATTTGGGTCATCTAAAGAAAATTCCTGAAAGCTGACAATATTTATTTTCTCTCTCCCCTCCACCCCAAGTGAACACGAACAGCTAAGTGCCAGAGTCTCCAGCTATGATTTATGCCTTTCTGGCATGTTGTCACTGACCTACTAAGGTGTGAATTATGTGTTTGTTTGTTTGGATGGGATGAAAATGTTAGTAATTGAAGTTGGTTGTCAGCACTTTTTTTTTTTTTTTAAAGCAGATGATGCTTTCTTGAAGATTGGCTTGAAGTAAGGTACTACATGATGTTTCTGTTGTTTGAAACTGACCTTTTCCATGACAAACTTTGAGTGAAAGGATCTTCACAGCTTTCTGAGAGCTCATTGATTTGTGAAAGATTTGGGTTAGATTGTTTCAGCGAACTACTTATTATTCCAAGATGGTCATCACTGATGAATATGCTTTTTTTTTCTTTTTTGTTCTTTCTGTGAGATTTCTTTATTGATGATTCAATGAAAGTAATTTCTTTTTCAGCATTGGTTGGACAACACAAAAAGCATTAAAAAGCAAGTTAAAAGTAAGTGTCCTTTCTGTTTTCTTTTGGTATCTCAAATTGAATATACAGGAAGCACAGAGAGTTGAAATGGGTGGTGAGGGGCAGTGTCCTGTGATGGGTGACAAGACTCAGTGACAAAAACACGGCATGGTGCTGCTGGTTGTTTAATGACCTGTTCCCTCTGTAGCTCATATTACTTTAGTCTAATGTCCTTGGTTAAACGTATTAGAGGTTCATTAATTATGGTTTAAATGGAGTCAAGGCAGCTGAAGATGCTTCAGTGTTATAGGTCATTATCCTGGCTATAGAAAAATTTCTCTTGGAACCTCCATCCCTTGGGGCAGTCCTGAATGTCCCAATCTGTGTTCGGTCCACCAAGTTCTTACCAGCTGCACGAGGATTTAGAGTGGTTTGATCGTTTCAGTGGTGGGTGAAGCTGTGACATCAGCTGATTTTTGTTCAGCGGCTTCCTTGCTCTCCGCTGTGGGAAGTCTTCAGGGATTTGTGGTGCTGTGTTAATACCACAGAGGTTTTGGAAGCACCGAGAGAGAAAAAATTCCTCCTGTCAGATGCAAGAATCAGCAGAGTGCTGCACATTTTTAAAGAACTGTTAATCCATCCTTTTCCTGAATTAACTCTTTAGTTTCCAGAAAAGATTTTTCTCCCACAGAAGGGTCTGTTAAATCCCACTAAAATATGTCTGAACTTCTGTGGAATAAAGGGGCCTGAGCTGTCAGCAGTGGGCATTTCCCAGAGCGCTGGCAAGGTGTTAACAGAGACCAACAGAGCACCTGGAGGTTCTGTCAACTGCAAAGCCAAAATGCACAGCTTTCTTGTGATGGATAGAGTCCACAAATACAGGGATTAACTTATGTGTGCTCTTGGCAGGACAGGTCAATTTAGTGTGATACCACTGTTGGATTGACTTGTGACATGCAAAACTATTTTGTGCATATATTTAAGTGTCCTTTCACCCTAATGCTTTTCATGCATTTCCCTGTCACAAAGGAATTCTGTCCTTAAGACCGTGTGGTAGGACAGAGCCAATTTCAGTCAAGTTTTGTTATGTGATTCTGTGTAATAAAAAAATAAAATGTCTCATCCAGTAACTCTTACTGCTGTCTTGAATGAATTCTACTTTGCAGTTGGCCCACCATATTGTCTGCATTTTCGCGTAAAGTTTTACTCATCAGAGCCCAACAATCTACGTGAGGAGCTAACAAGGTAAGAGGGACTTTGTGTGAGAGAGAGGTACCCAAATAAGACCAGGAAAATGTTTTTGTGGTATTTATTTAAACAATTGTTATATTTTGGAGAATTCCTTAGAGCTGCTTGCTTACTTGGCTGTTGTAAATGTTCCCAATGTAGCTGTCGTGAAATGAATGAGCTCTAATATAAAGAGATCTAGATGTTTACTGTATTACTTGGTGCACCATTTTTCATTAGGCAATTCTTGCAACTGATCCGAGTAGCTTATGCACAATGGACAGAGGTTTTACTGAAGAGAGCAGGCATCATTCTTTCTTTATTCTTCTTAAGCTGCATTAAGGTTCAACTGTATGCAGTCATTCTGTTTCTTTAGGCAGAAAAGCATTGAATTGCATGTTAAGAGCTTCTCTTAGGCAAAAATAAGTTCAGTTAATGTTCCGTTACTTATGTGGCCCTTGCAGAGCTTAGGGAAAATAGTATTTTACTGCCATGTTGAGATGTGAGTTGACAGTACTATATATGTAGGATTATAGTATCAGGTGAGCAGCAGTTTCTCTTGATTAAAGCATTTCACAAATCCGTTCATAATGCAGCATTTCACGTTGGACTGTCTCAGTGCTTGGGGTGCTTTGAAAGAGAACACAACCTACCATCTGTCAGTAGTATAAATCTGTTGTAAAAGGCAATATTTCTTTGCATTGTCACTGCTGCTGCAGATACATTTTGGACAGAAAACAAAGTTGGTGTGTTTCCTCAGTAGATGTAGACACTTCATACCCTCAGCCATTTGTAAAAGCGTGAAGTGCATTTCTTTGTTGTACAGGTTTACATCTGTGTGGATCTTCGATCTGCACTTTAGCCAAATCCCTAGGAGTGCTACCAGGAAGATTATAGTAGCATTACGCCTTACAGCCATATGTACCCTGTGCAGCTCCATACTTACATATGGTAACATAATGTCATAACTGCTCTTCTTTAATGCTTTCCTGCCAATGTGGGAAGAATGTTTTACCTCCCCATTCATGTTCCTGAATAAACACTTAACTGTCTTTAAAAATAGTAAACATAAGCAAAATTCAGACCTACATCTGTACCTACCAGTATGAAACATTTTCATCCATGCTGAGTTCTGCCAGGCAGACCTTGCTATACAGGTTTTAGTGTGGCAGACCTGAAACCTGAGGGTGTTTAAACCCTGTCTGTCTGCTTAGCTAATCCCCCAGAACAGGAGAGCAGCAAGTCTTTTTTCTGTCTTGAGACAATTTTATGTCTTAAAGAAGCAGTGGGAAGGGGAGCTCTGCTGTTGGTTATAGGTATCACTAACAGGGGCTTCCAAGGGTTCCCCCTTTTCTTTCTGCAGCAGGACACCCAGTTGGAGCCCCTTTTCAGCTTCCACAGGTGCAGCTTGCTCATGTTTTCTGCCAGCTTCCCATCAGGTGCCACCAGTCAGAGGTCACATAACACAGCCTAAGCATGGGAAGTATGCATGAATTGTTTGCAAGTGTTACGTGTCTGATAAGCTCGGACCGGACACACCCACTCTACACTGGAGGCCTTGTGCTCATTCTTTTGGTATCTAGGGTCAGTACCAAACAAATTTATTCCCCGTGTAAGGGACACTGTTCAAAAGGCTTCAGATAATAAATGGTTTGGCAAAGTATTTGTGGATTTCCAAGGGACCTGCAGGAAAAATGCCTGCATCTGTTTTGTGTCCATGTATGTGAGTACGAGGAGATGTAGGCACATGCTGAAACAGAAGCATTGTCTTTGGCTTTGCGTGTAAGGCTTCTGTTCATCTGTAGTAAAATTCAAACTGGATGCCAGCGTTTCAGTTGATGAGACTACTTTTCTTGTTAAAGGAAAGCTGTGTACCATAATGGAGCAAAAGGGCTACTCTCCGTGGGTATTGGATCGGAAGGATTGGTATTGCACACAAAAAGGATAGGAGCTTTGTATTCAGTATTTGCCCAATTTCTAAGCAAGAAGAAAAGTACTGAATAAAGCAAAGCAGTGAAGGAAAGCTGGCTCTGAAGAGTAAACAAGTTGAAAAGGCTGCAGCCTCCTGTTTATTTTTTTGTCACTTTGCGGTCAGCTTTCTGGGTTAGATTTTAACTAAGCAATCCACATTAGGAACATTTATTTTTGAGAGACTTAAAAAAATTCATTGTTTTATGAGATTGTTATGTCTACAAATGATGAAGAAAATGTGGAAGATGCAAACTGTTCTTTCCCCAAGTAGGATCAGAAGAAAATAAGTTAGACTTGCTTAGGTATCCTGTTTCTTTTTCCATGCAACACTGTAGTTCAGCTTGTAACAACTTCTAGTTTTGGATTTACTTCATTTGAAATGTGTGCAAAGCGTACAAACCCAACTGATAAAGCCTTGAAAGATCACAGTGCAATTTCTTCAGTCTTGAAAACCCATGTAAAGTGTAGAAAACACTTGTGTTTGTCAGGCTCTAAATTCGTCCTGTTATCTGAGTGACACATTAGAACTATTAATTGATGACTTTTCTTTCTTATTTAACCCCACAGGTATTTATTTGTTCTGCAGCTAAAACTGGATATTCTTAGTGGAAAGTAGGTATTCCCAATATACATCCTTTTAAACAATTACAGTGTGTTTAGCATAGGATTTATTATATTTGGATAATTCATAAGTTTTGCTAAGTTATGTAGTGTTATTTTTTTCTCTAAGATACTACTTTTCTGTGCATGAGTAGCAGGAGAGGAATGCTTAAATAATGTAGTGTTGTTGAAAATCTACTAATCCTTTTTCACTTATCCCAAACATTTTAACATGCTAAGATTTTAACAATGCATTTCTCTTATGGCAGATTGGAATGTCCTTTTGACACAGCCGTCCAGTTGGCAGCTTATAACATGCAAGGTGAGTAGGTATGAGTGGGGAAGGATGAAGTTGCATGAACAGCTTTGTGTAGACTCTCATTACCTCTTTTAGTCTGTCTTTGTTACATCCAGAAAATAGGTTCTGCCCAGACATTAGCGATCCAATGTGAAACAGGTCTTCTTGATTGTAGTTTTGCTGAGAGCCTATGTAGAAAATTACTTGATTCCTCAGGAAACAGAACAAGGAGGTTCTGAACATAACCAGTTTTGCCCTAAACTTGTTTTCTCAGGTACTTGTGTGCAAACCTGTCCGCATTCACACAAGATATGAGGTCTGCAGTCTTCCTAAATTGCTTTTATATAGTAACACAGTTCACTTCTTTCATTGTGCAATTTCTTCAATGTGTTTTCTTTGTTGTTCAAATTAGATACTAAATTATTTTGATTCTACACTCAATTGAAAAGTCCTGTTTATAAAAACCACGCAGCTTTTAGCTTCAGCTTATTTGTAGAAACATGCTAGTGCCCCATCTCATGCTTGTACTTGACCATTTATGGTTGATCTGCACTTGTTGCTGTTTCAGATTCTTCTTCAACCAAAAGAGGTGACATACTGCATTTTTTTTCTCAGCTATACAGCACTATGCTTTAGTAATCTGTGACTCTTATTAATGAGTCATCTTTGACTTTTGATTCCAGTTGAAACTCCAGCATCCATGGCTTGTGTGAGAACTGTGCTCTGACCTTCAGTTGTATCACTAGTTTTCATGGCCAGTGTCTTCTGTTGTTTGGATGAGGGTATGATCTTAACAAATGTGAAGTTTGCTGTGGTTTCAAGCGAGGGAACTTCCAAAAGTAAGAGGGCAGGCTTGAAGTTCTAGAAGTGTCTGCTAGAGAAGGCTTTTGGGTCCTTTTTGGAGTATGTAGCTATGTAGCTTCGTTTAAGGCAGTTTATGAGTCTACAAAAAAATCCCAGAACTTCTGCTGTAAAGCTGTTGTGCGGTCCTCTTTGATGAAGAAGGAGTTTGGAGATGGGTGTTCCTTTGTGCCACATAGATTCTCTACACAACATTCATCTTACAAACTGATGCATTAAGTCACTGAAATTCTTTCTCTTACAGATATTTTCCAAAACATGTTTTGTTCTTCAGGCAGGAACTACTAATGACCCTGATCATGTGTAGGTGTAGAGAGCTGGGATTAAACTGTAAAAGACACCTGCCTTTTTTCCCTGTTCCTTTGTGTGGAAGGAGAACAGTTAGAATACATTCTATAGTTAAAAATATTAGCGTTGTTAGAGCCTTAAGATACAGGTTCAGTGGGTAAGTTTTTGGAAAAACAAAGTGATCTAATTAGGCCATATATCCATTACTTTTTGTGCTGGTCTTTTCTTTCCTCTCTCCACAATGAGGCCCGTAGCAGGGCTTTAATCTTACTGTCTGACAGCTGTGTACTTTTATTTAAATCAGCTGGAACCTAAGCTGGCTTTAACAGCATTCCTTTCAACAGAGGCAGGCGTTTTAGTGGGAGTAAATTATTATAGAACTACAGACTTCCTCAGTCAGCATTAAAAAAAAAAAAAGAAACAGGAGGGGGTGAGAAGACTGCTATTATGCTTGCAGTGTTTGAAAATCCAAGAAACAAGTTTTTTAGATCATACGTGGTTTTTGTACCTATGGAATACTGTGTTTGTTTATTTGACTTTTCCAGGTCTTCCCAAAGATGTTGCTGGTTTTTTTCCACGTAAATATCTGTAGTTTCTTTTTTCAGACAGAACAATTATTGGCCTGTGTCAGACACCCAAGTTCCAAGTTACAGAATTACCCCTAATTTTTTGGATATGAGCTGAACACCAACAAGCCCCTGAAATCAGTGGGAAGAGCAAGTGTTTATAAACGTTTTTATAAAGGTTTCTAACTGTGAGTTTCAGCATTTTGGGCATACCTCAGTCTTTAAAAGCTGGACATGTTAGCATCTGTGGAAAAAAGGAGGTTGTGCTTTTGCTGTGGCACACCCATTGACTAGTATGTTCCAGTGTGTTCTCTAAATAACATCTCTTACTGCCCCTGTTGAGCATGCAGCAGTGGACTGCATGAGCCATTTGACTGACCCACCAGGGCATTTGTTATGCTCTTAGATGGAAAAGAGAGCAAAAAATAATAGCTGTGTGATTATGTCCTGACACAGATTAATTTTAGCAGGACAGATGGATTTATAGTGATAAAATGAGAAACTGATTTTTAGAATGGACAAATAGTTTTATGAAAAGCATCAGAACTGGTTTTGCTTTTTACAAGTCTCAAGAGATTTTGTTTCAGTAATTTAAGGCAAAATTCCATTTTAACTTTAGTCATCTGTTGTCTCAGTAGAGACTTCATTGATAAAAATGTTTAAAACTTTATGCAAGAAAGAAAAAAGGTGAGTTTCAAGGATGTTGATAAGTTCCGTTTATAGGAAGCTTCCTAAGGAATATATCAATGCAAAGCTTTTGTGCAGGCAACAGAACCATTGGTTCAGGGTCCATAATTTCCCTGTCAAAAAAAGGTGACACTTCAGATATCGGCAGGACTGGAGGAGAAGGAGGAACACAAAAAGAAATTTAGTATTTTAGATTAACTAGAAAAGTATGCAAAAGTTCCTGTTCGTATCCCCTGTGTTTATTGGGAACATTGCTTGACAATGCTATTCTTTTGTAGCTGAACTTTTTTTCTGCTGAACATGTGCCTGAACTGGTGTCTGAGTTCAGGTTTGTTCCCACTCAGACTGAAGAGATGGAGCTAGCCATTTTTGAGAAATGGAAGGAATGCAGGTATTAGATCTTCCAGTGCGCGCTCACCAGCTGTTGGCACTGATTTTTCTGTGAAGTGAATGTATTAAAAAGATACTGCTGACACTTCCTCCGTGGTCTTGTTCAGAAGCACAATTCTAATATGATTTTGTCATATTTTGTAAGAGGGTGTAATATGAAGAATGAAGCTTTTCAAAGGTCTGAGTAAAACGATGAGGTTGCGAAATCTTGAAACGCAATAACTTTTGCAGCAGCAGTTTCAGATTAAAACTTACAAAAGTGACCTTGATGTTCGTGAAAGTGAACAAGTGTCAGCAGTGTTTAGGTTTTTCACAAACTCTGTGGAATTTCTTTTCCTCTTTCCTCATATAGCAGTTTTTCCTTTCTGTGCTTTTTCAGGCATCTACCTAACACCAAAAAATTTATTTCAGGGGGCAAACACCAGCACAGGCTGAAACTAACTACTTAAACAAAGCTAAGTGGCTGGAAATGTATGGTGTAGACATGCACATAGTCAAGGTATGTTTAACCACAGCATGGTGACCTTTGGAAATTATGTTAGCTTTGTCCCACATTTCAACACTAGTTTTGCTTTGAGGGGGGAAAAAAGGAATATTGTACTCGTCTAAACTGTGTAACAAGTGATCTGTCTTTACATCAACATTCCACTTTATAGTGTATATTTCTAGAAGGTATAACTTTAGTCCAAACATATCTGCTCTGTGTTAGATATGTTACTGGTGTGGCAGTATGTACTTGCGGTTGGTATTTAGACTAAGAGCTATGTGAAAATCATAGTAATTAAATTAAAATTGATTGGGGTCCAGTCAGCTACCAACCAAAAAACTAGAAGTAAAAATACATCTCCTGTGGAGACGGAAGTGCAGAGAACTGCACAAGGAGGTCCTTATTACATAGACAAATCAAGAAACTTGACTTTTTCACTTTAGGCAGCCTTACTGAAGGGTTGCAAACTAGAAAAACCCATGGAATAAAATCATTGAAACATGAGAGTTTTGTTATACAAAATAAGCAGATACGTGTTTAATTGTAGCACTGGGCAAATAAGCTACATTAATCACTGCAATAATTTGGATAAAAGGTCAAACACCAAAATGAACATAATCTTTATTTTCTGGCAACTAGGCAAGAGATGGCAACGATTACAGCCTGGGACTAACACCTACAGGAGTTCTTGTCTTTGAAGGAGACACAAAGATTGGTTTGTTTTTCTGGTAAGCTCTCTGTACGTTAAAGTATGTTTTAGAGTTTTACTCTCTTGTTTCTTTTGCACTAGCCAAAAAAAAAAAAAAAGTGTTTTGGATATGGCAGCACTAGATACCTGCAGAAATATTCTGTAGTCTGTGAGTGTTTTCATGGTGTCCAAAAATATTCTTGGCTGATATGTTAATAGGCTGTACATGTGTAGCATGCTAGAGGCAAGTAAAAGATGGAATAACTTTGGGATGATTTTTACTTTTTTTATTGTGTGTTTGTTGTTGTATATTGCACTGGATTGCTTGGAAATAAAGTATGCACCCAGTCATACTGTTGCATAGAACACGTGGTGCAGAACTTTCTATCTAGCATAATTGGGTCTGGGTACACAGGCATTTATGGATTATTCTGTAATTCCCATCCAGTCTTTCAGAACTGTATACAAAGAATAAGTAGGCAGAGGATGAGGTGAAATTTCATCATATGAATAGTTAGTTTGGGTTAGCCCAGTCCAATTTTATAAACTTCTCAGAAAAACACTCACTTTGTAGCAGAAATGTTGTCTGTGTGCTTTGTCCCTTCAGCATCAGATCTCACTATTTTTTTGGTGAACAGGGGGAGAAGTGTTGACTTTGTTGTACCATGTTATGTTCACGTTGTTCTCTTTGGCTGGGATTTTCTTAGAGTCATAGGAATTCATCTGTGAGGTATTGTACAGGGATTTACATTTCTTTAACAAAGCAGAATTATTGTGGCCTTTGTGTCTTTCTGAGTTCAGTTTTGTGGTTTGTGGAAGAGTAGGCAAGCAGGAATATTTGGTTGGAGTTTTATTTCCGTTCAAGTAATTGTTAAGTTCTGATAGAATTATCTCTTTAGAAATTGCTGACTTCTTATCTTTAAGGTTTCTAATTAAGTATTAAATTTTGAAGAAATACATTGGTATCCACAGTATAATCAAACTCTACTGTGTGAACTTAAAACGCCCACAAAACCAGAAAAAAAATATTTGGTAGAGAGGCTTGGACCAGCATGTCAAGCATACCTCACAGTGAGTTACTAAGAGTTAGACGTAACCTGCTTTTTCTGTTCATCTTACAGGCCAAAGATAACAAGACTTGATTTCAAGAAGAACAAACTCACTCTAGTTGTTGTTGAAGATGATGAACAGGTAGATAAAGATCTGTTTGGTTACATCTCAGTCTTGATTATACGGTACTAGTTTGTGTATTCCTGATCTCTTTCTTTATATTTAAGTTTAGAGAATTAACATGAATGCCTTGCAAGATTTTTGGTTGTGACTTGGGGAGAGGAGGGGGATGAAGGGACTTAAGTATTAAATTAACATGCTCAATTACTTTTTTTCCCCTCACCCTGTTTTTAAAAAGGGAATACCTTGTGAAACTAGTGTAGACTAAGTAATTTGGAAACAGCATGCATTGTGCAAGAAAGCTGAAAGGCCAGGTACCACATTTAATGGAATGAATTCTTACAGCAGGTGCCAGAATTGTTCCCATGGGAAGAAATTGCTCAGAAACGAGACTATAAAAATGCAAGCATTGGTAATTTGAGATCAGATTTGGAAGTGAGACCATGTTAGCCTCATTGTGAAGTACCTTCCTATTATAATGATGTCTTTAATTTGCACTTATTCAGATGTTTGGCTAGTTAAATATAAGGACTCTAGCCCTTTCCAACTTCAGGCAATGGAGCAGTTGTTCATTGAAGCTTCTGAAAAGGTCGAGTTTTTCTGCCTAAAATCTTTTTTTTTTTTAAAACATACATTTCAGTATTCATAAAAAACAAATTTTATTTCGCTTGCCTTGAATTGTAGCTTTGACTTACTCAATCCCCTTGTAAATCGTCAGTGTGCTTTGTGTGCTTTAAGGGAAAGGAGCAGGAGCATACTTTTGTCTTTAGACTGGATCATCCCAAAGCTTGCAAACACTTGTGGAAGTGTGCAGTGGAACATCACGCCTTCTTCCGGCTCCGAGGTCCTGTCCAAAAAAGCTCAAGTCGATCAGGGTTCATTAGGTTAGGATCCCGGTTCCGATACAGGTCAGTCTCATCTGTCATTTAGTACATATCTTCTGCTATTTCTTGCTTTTCTTGGATTACGTGTGGAAGCAAGAGAACTTGGTATTCCTTCACCTAGGGCATACAGAGCAGTGAAGCTTGCAAGCTGAGTGCGTTGCATTATTGGTTTTATTAAATCATATAGATTTTTCCCCTGCATTTTCTGATTTATCATTAGGTGATTCTGGTCTGTGTAGTGGGAAACCAAAGGTTTCTCAAGGTTTATATTCCTTACGTAGCATATATAGTACATTGTGTTTTATAGATCACTTCCTCTTGAAAGCCCACCTTTTTTTAAATGAACCCTAGAGGATGGATGATTGACTTGTGCAGCTGGGGACATTGCAAGTCTTTTGACTTCTGAGTTCCTGACTGTTTGAGTGATGGTAGCGCTTCAGAAGCCCAAGATAATGCCCATTCCATGTTAGGCACTGTTGGTGCACGTAACAGACTTCTGAGTGTCTTGTGGTCCCAGACTGCTGTGCAGGATTCTGTCAGTTGCCCCACCAGCCTTGGTGAGAACATATGGAAGGGGGTGGGACATGACCCCAGGCAGTATGTATACACTTTGCTTCCATTTCCAGCAACTGTAGCAGTACCAGCTAGTCTGCTTCAGAAGGGATCAGTAGTACTGAGGAGTCAGCAGAACATGAGGCTGCTACTGCTTTGGAGGCAGAGTCTGGCCAAAGTTGGGGAAAAAATACTTGCCTGGGAACAAGAGTATCTGGATGCTGGCGTTTAGTCCTATTACCACCTTTCTTTATGACTTTTGGCAACATACCTTAAGCTTCACTCTATCCTAGAATTTTCAGCCTCTCATGGCTGACCTCAGAAATATGCAAAGGGCAAATGTGCTTTTTTCAGCGACTTAATGTCTAAGGAATCATTGCTTCAGCTTTTTGTCTTGAAAAAATGGGGTGAAGGTTAAAATGTTTGTAAAACTCCATCCCTTTTTTGTGAAAGACCTTCTCAGGCATTGGGGATTTTTTTTTAATAGAACTGACATCAGATTATTAAGCTATGAATTTAAAATAGAAATGGGATGTTTTGATGAGCAGTGTCTGTCATTAAATATAAGTAATTTATTTTATTGTTTTGTACTTTTACATGGTGGTGTTAGTGGGAAAACAGAATATCAAACCACCAAGACCAACAAAGCCCGAAGATCAGCATCCTTTGAAAGGAGGCCCAGCAAAAGATATTCAAGACGGACACTACAAATGAAAGGTAAACTATTTACCTTCCATTTTGAGAAGTATAATCCACTGTGAGAATCAAGTAATCATATCTTTTAAAGGTACTGTGTAGGAGTTCTTCTGTAGCCATTTGCCCTCCTCTTGAATTTTCAAAATTAGATTTTCTTTTACTTACTGGGGAGACTGCATATATTTATCAGAAAAATCTTGTGTCCAAAGTGTGTCATTCTAGCTTGCCTAGCAGGTAAAACATTATAAATATTGCACAATAGGTCTCAGTATGAAGATCGAAAACATGGATCCAGGAAACAGTGATATATTACTGATAATATTTGAAATTTATTAATCAAGTTTGAAACTTTTATCACTGGGATTTTTTCATTCTTAGGAGTTGCACTGCGTTGTTGCAACCCGACAGCATGTGATACCTTGTCTCTTATTCCCACTCTTGCACAGGTCAAGCGTGATCTCCGTGTATGCCTTCAGATACTTGCTTAAATCTGACTCTTTGTTTTGCTCTTCTGATTTTTTTATTTTATTTTTCCAACTTAGAATTTTATTTTTCAGACATTGTACATGGAACTCTTGCTCTTTTAGTTGCCTACTTTTAGGCAGTGCTAAACTATTTCTATTAATGGTATACTTAATATTTAAGTGATAACATAATTACTAATTAAATTTTAATTAACACTTCCTATTTTTGCAGCACATTCTCCTAAACTTGAAGAAACAAGGTAAGTTGCATTCCAATATTTAAATTTATCTTTGATGTTTGCCACCTGTGCTTGAGCACTTGTCTTCAGAAAGAGGTTATAAGATTAGTTAAAAGCAGAGAGCATTAACCTCTTAACTGTGGTTTTGGTGTGGGTTTTGTGTTCGTTTGCTTTACATAAACCTGCTGTTCAAAGCAAAGCTCATGTGTTGCTGTCACATTGAAGATTTTGCCAGACTTGCTTGCTAGCAGGCAAAGAGGTTTGTTTATAACTAGCTATGATTCTTGCTGCATGTGAGCTGTAGTTCTGTCTGCTGCCATGAAAAGAGATCAGGTAAAAGCATGTGAGGATCTCTTCTCTCTGACATTTGCCTGTTCAGGCTAATGACTGAAGTACATAATCAAGTGAAATTTAGAGACATGGAAAATATGGTAAAATAATTGTTTGAAATATTTTGATTGTTTTGTATTCTGTACTGTACTTGCATTTATTTTTATATATTTAAGTATTTTTTTATATATTTATGCTAAATTATTCATTACCAACATTGAGAGGGAGGCGTTTTGGTTCTTTATTTCTGTACCTAGAGTCTTTTCTGCGTGTGTAGGTTCATACTTGCTGTTGCAATACAAAATACTCATATTAGTGTGAATCATACAGTTTTCATACCCTTCCTTAAGGGAGGAGAGGAAACCAGGCTAAAAATAATTACCTGGTAGTGAAGGAACTCGGTCACTTAGTTGTGGTTTCTGTCCTTTGCCTTAATAACTTGTAAACTTACAATGATCAATTGCAACCAAAGTATTTTAAAAAGTAGATATTTGTAAATGTTAAGCATCATGGCAGCCAGGAGCTGAGTAAGGAATGTCAAAATGACTTTTCAAAACAACAGGTTTAATACAGCCATAGATTTTCTCTTCGTAGCAGCAAAGCTGATTCTGCCATGAGAGGGGGAGAAGCCTAGGAAGCACGGGGACAAGGCTGCAGTTACTTAAATAGAGGCCCCTCTGTCTTTGTGACCTTGTGTATTGTCTTTTCTTTTTATAAAATGGGAAAGTACTCTTCAAGTGCTTAAAGTCATTAAAGTGCTTAAAGAACCTCTGCATGCAAAATGTGGTTGCCTGTTTAATTAGTACTCTCATGATGCTGTGTTGTCATGCACTTCTGAGTTTCATGCTGCTTAGGTCATTCTGAGAGTGGGAAGAGTAATTTCATATGCAGTTTCTCCTTCTGATAAGACGGCAGTCTTCTGATCTGCACCTAGGTGTGGCACTGTTACGTTAGTCTCCAGAGCAAGCTATGCCATTTCTGAAACTCTACACTTGAGCATTGCTAATTGAAGTGCATCATGAAAGATGTATGTTGTTCCATTCTTTTGTGTTAACTCAGCCCAAGGGAATGTGCTACCCAGAAGTCAGTTCTTAATACTTCTGTTAAAGGTGCCCTGTTCTGTGGTAGTCTCCACATTTTCTCAATAGAGAAGGTGCGAGGAACAGGCAAGGAACAGCTTGTTTGGTCTCGGCATTATGGTATTTAAGTAAAATAATTCTAAAGAATTGCTAAAGTAGGTACAGAAACCTGTTTGAATTGTCAGCTTGCCAGGTTGGATAGCTACTGTCCAGGCCATAAATCAAAAAATTAATGGATCATAGGAGACTGAAACCATTTTTTAAAAGATTAGAAGTCTGAGAAAAAAGTTTGCTTTGCATAAGATTTATAATGCATAATTATTTTGCAGGGTGTTAATGCTTTTAAGTTTCTCAAAAATGTGAAGATGTGAAAAGTGTCTTGCAGATTCAGGTGTCATCAGAAATAGGGATATGCGTCTTAATTTATTATATATATTAAATATT